ATTTCATGATTTCACATCACGAAAATTCTGAAATTCACTTAAACAATCATGAAAAATGGAAAACATTAGAACTAAGTTTGAATCTTAATAAAACCATTGATGCCGTTCATCAAGAAAATCGAGAACTGGAAACTAAAAAATGGAATGACATTTTACACCGCTTATTGGATGTCACCATGTTTCTAGCAAAACAAAATTTACCTTTTCGAGGCCACAGAGAAGATGACTTTTCTAACAACAAAGGCAATTTCTTAGAGTTAGTTGAATTAATTTCACACTACGACCCTGTCTTAAAAGAACATTTAGTGAGGGTCCAACATAGCAAGGCAGGAAACACGATTTCATATCTTTCCCCTAAAATTCAGAATGAATTTATTTCTATATTGGGAAATACTGTGAAACAGAAAATTATTGATGATGTAAAGCAAGCAAAGTATTACGGGATAATGTTTGATTCAACACCTGATATATCTCACCAAGACCAATTAAGTGAGATTATTAGATATGTTCATATAAAAAACAAAAATGTAGAGGTAAGAGAATCATTTTTAGGATTTTGCCAGAAAGAAGGCTATTGATATCACACAAAGAATTGTAAATATTATTGATGAAGAGGGTTTGGACATGAACTTATGTCGAAGCCAAGGTTATGACAATGCTTCGGTAATGTCAGGTGTTCATTCTGGGGTACAAGCCAGGATCCATCAAATAAATCAGAAAATTTTATTTGTACCTTGTTCTAATCATTCACTTAACTTGAGCGGGGTTCACGCATTTGGAAGCAATCCAACTTGTGTAACGTTTTTTGGAACAATTGAAAGCATTTACAACTTCTTTTCTTCATCAACTCATAGATGGGATATATTGTTAGAAATAGTCGGGATCACTGCAAAAAGGCTAGCAGGAACCAGGTGGAGTGAGCAATATCATGCGGTAAAACCTGTAATGAATCATTTCAGCAAGTTGGTATAGGCTTTAGAAAAATTATGTGATCCATCAGAAAATGTAGATACGAGAGGTTCAGCTCAAATTTTAATGAAAAATATTCAAGATTTCAAATTTCTTGCTTATCTTCATTTCTGGAGCAGTACTCTTGAGGAAGTCAATCATACTCAAAAATACTTGCAAACAGAAGGAATTGGTTTAGATAAAACCATTGAAAAATTAGATACCTTAAAACTTTTTCTGCATGAGAGTCGCGATGAATTGGTTGAAAATGCATTGATATTTTCTACAAAAATTTGTGAAGAAATGGGAATAGCTACAGAAAAATTGGGTCGAAAAAGTCAAAGAAAGCTTATGCCTGGAGAAGAAAGTAAAGATGAAGCTTTAACGTTGAAACAGGAATTGAGACGATCAATGTTTCAGTCACTTGATAATTTTTATCAAGATCTTAGAAAAAGGATAGAATCAATGCAAAATGTATACGTAAAATTTGCAGCCATTCAATCATCACATCTTATTGGAATGGAGATAGAAGAACTTTCAAAGCTGATACCAAATCTGACAAAAACGTTTGATGAACTAGAAGAAAATGAAATGATACCCGAAATTAAACAATTAAGACGTCATCTTCAAGCAGGGAAAATTGAGAAAGATAATGTTAAAAAATGGTCTGCACTGAAAATGTTAACCTATATAATAGAAATTGATTTACACGAGTCAGTTCCAAACTTATATTTAGCTTTAAAGATTTTTTTGACAGTGTGCGTTTCAATTTCTTCTTGCGAAAGAAGCTTTTCAAAATTGAAGCTGATTAAAAGTTATCTTCGTTCGACAATGAGTCAAGCAAGACTTAATAGCTTAGCAATCCTATCAATTGAAAACAGAGTGGCGAGAAATATTAACTTTGATGAAACAATACAAATATTTTCTGATGCAAAATCTCGTAAAAAACAGTTTTAATATATTTTTCGATTAGCTGAATCAAAATTTTGTGGCATATGTGTTTTGTATCTATGTATATTGCATTTTTGTAAAACATAAAATATAAAAACATTTTTCATTTATTTTCTGCATCATCAGCCAATTAAAAAATGAAAAAAAGAATAAGTGCCTTATCCTTTTCTGGACATCGGCGACCATCAATTTCCACAAAATATGGACTGTGGTTAGTTTTTGTCGATGAATTTCTTGGCAGAGGTATAGACATATGTTACCATTTCTTTTTGCCATTGCATCAAATAAGCGACCATATGATGGTCTTTGGGATGAACAGCATGGTATGCTTTCGAACTCGATGACACTGACTTCAACGACCAAGCAAATAATCATTACATCCACCATATAATATCTATGTATATGTAATACATATTATTTATTTATGAAAGGCATCACAAATATGGAACAACACTGAATTCATGTAACGGCTGTGATCCTGACACTGACATAGCATTTTCCTTGTTCACTTCCTTGCCTTTTTTAGCCAATGCTGTTGTTTGGATGAAAGAAGAAATTTGGTTAAGATCTTCAGAAAACCTTTTAATACCAGATGTCAGCATATCAATCACAGTATTTGACCATTTGGTTACACTTAAAGAATCATCATTATCATTTGAGACTAGTTGGCAAGTCAACCATCCCAAGTGTTGTAACGCCTGTCCGGCTGCTTGGAGTAATTCACCTACTCCCTCCGTTGAAGACATTTAGTTCGTACTATTCCAATTTCGCAATACTCAAAGCAAAAGTTCAACAAATTCACTAAACTAAAAAGGTGAGAACGACACAATTCAAACTCGGCAACGTAAAATAATTTTCGGCGACTTAAAATGATTTTCGAGAAAATTTATTTTCGAGAAAATTTATTTACATCCATCCGCCATTAGACTATATAAAGAGGAATAATATATAATTTAATTTCATTTTAATATTATTTTATACTTTCCTAATTTATCTCATTTCAATGATTTTAATATTATTCACAATAATATTCAGCTCCGATGATGGCTAAATAGCCAAAACAGCGCTGTCAGCTGACAAATTTCATGGACGTTTTTGAGTAAGTCGGAGTTTAAAATTTTTGCCGGAGTCTGGAGTCAGAAACTTTTACCCCGAGTCGAAATTTTTGAGGAGTCAGATATTTTTTCTCTGACTCAGACAATCTGTTTTTGATGAAAACAAAAAAATGCAAGACCTATTTCATTGCATGATTTGTCCGTCTGTTCAACTATTTCTTTCCATGACTGTTCAGAATGACGTTCTGCCAGAGCGGTTTTGCAGGCCAGTGTGAGACCACTCGCTGCCAGTGCCACAAGTCAATGACAGCCCACTATTTCTTATTCTGTTACAACATGCAAGGCAATCTTATAAATTAAAAATAAATAAACTGAGATTTTGCGACCACTGTAGGCATACTATTTTTAAATAATGGTAATAAGACTGTTGAATTTGTTGATTATTTTTCAAATTTGATTTTTTTAATTTGTTGTGTTTCAATGCCATGTCGTTCATTTGCAGTTTTTATTACTTGTTTCACATTAGAAAAATAAAGCCGTCACATGTTTGAGGATGATGAAGTATATTTTCATTTTAAAAATATTGCAGAAATTACTTTGACAACAATGTTTTTAAATTTTAGTGAACAGTTGATGAACAATTTTAAATCACTTTATTTTCATCGCATTAATAAAATATATAAAGGTTTTCAATTAAAAATGGAGACATTTGCTCGACGAATGCAGCGGTGCGGACCATCAGAAGGAATCATCTTTACTGGCAGTCAGCTTTGTGAGCATTCCCAGACAACTGTTGCACATGTCCTGTGTCTTCAATGTCATCAACATTCAAATTATATTAAAAACTACTTCTTCAACAAAATGTATAGCTGATTATCAAAAGTTTGGAAGAAATGAAAATAAGAATTAAGATGATAACAAATTAAAAATAGTAACCGCTTTGACGAGACTGTGCTCGAGAGAAGGTGAGAGGTTTCTGCGGTCTGCAAGGTGGTCGAATGTCAACACATCATCGTTATGATTAGATGAATGTTCAAAATCAACCAATTTCAACATTGTACTAACATGAAACTAATTTGGAGTCTGGCATGATTAGAGCTTCGGACTGATGGAGCAACATGAAGATGGTCAGTGTAATGAACAATGGGGCAACTGCAAACAACTTCATTTTTTCTTATCTTTCTTCTGCCCGTACGACTGATTGCAATAGAGAAATAATTCTGTGAAACAATTCACTTAACAAAATCACAGGCGGACTCACGTATATATACCATTTTGAATTGCCCGTGGCGTGCAGATGATTCTCACGCAAATGACATTCATTGCACAGGGCTTCGTTTCCAATGAATGCTGATGATGGAATAGAAACTTGATAGCCAGTAATTTTCATCACGAATGTCTTTCTATTCTTTACGATTTTTACAAAATTTTATTAATATTAATCACAAAACTAACTTAATCTCATACGACAGCAGTTTCAAAGAGAGCATTCACATTAAGTCACCCATCGCATAATTTTGTTGAAAATAACATAACTTCGATGATTTATAACTTTATAATAATCAATAATAAATAATTTACCAAACACTTTTGTTAGTATTTGTCTTATTTGTTCTGAGTTTTAAAAACAATAATGAATTTATTTATTTTTAAATTAAATTTATTTTTATATACAATAAACACACGAACGAATCTATTTTAGATTGAAATATAATACGCTTCCTTAATTAAAAGTATCGTATATCAATTTCAACGACGTTCACATTCAATTAAGTAGGACCCTAAGTAGAATGAATGAATGAAATTCGTCTTTTGAGCTATTGTTAACAAATTTGTTCATTAAAGTATAAATGAAGAAGACCTTGATGCTTTTTTACAGTGGTCTTGATGGTGCTTTAAAAACATGTAAATCTCAAGAAGTTGTTATTATGATGGGTGACTTGAATGCAAAAGTTGGCTCAGAAAAAATACATGATGTGGTTGTTCCTCATGGGATAGGTAAAAGATATAAAAGAAAAAAAAAGTTGATTGAATGGTGTGTCGCAAATGGTCAAATTATTACCAACCCAAGGCGAAAATAGACTTGGAAGAGTCCTGGAGACAAGGTAAGAAATATAATTGATCTATTATAAATAAAAAATTTTTAAATGCTTTTTAACAATGCAAAAGTTACCCTGGAATCGATTGTGGCAGTGATCATAATCCAGTTGTTTGTAAAATCAGGATAAAGTTAAATAAAAGTTAAGAGACCCTAAAACGTTTGGATTTTGCCAGTTTGCCATAAAATGATGAGATCAAGGTCAGGTATAACGTTGAAGTACGAAATCGTTTACAGTTATTGACGAAAGACGTAAATTAATCTAAATATGAAATATTCAGAGATGCCCTCACAGAATCAACAAGAGAAGTTATACTTGTGAAGGAGCAAAGAAGAGGTCAAAAATGGATGACAGATGACATTGTGTTTCTGATGAATGAACGAAAAAAAGTAGAAAGCTGCAATCCTGATAAATACAAAAAGCTGGACAAAACAATCAAAAAAATGTGCGTAGAAGCAAAAGAGAAGTGGTTAAATGACAAGTGTGAAATCATTGAAAAGATCAAAAATAGTAATACAAATGCATTATATAAAAACACCAAAGAAATCACTGAAATAAGGGTTTGTACCATTTCTGGATGCATAAAAGCTAAATCCGGTAAAATTATCTTAGAGAAAGAAAAAGTGCTTGAAAGATCGACTGAATACACTAACAATCTTTTCGATGTCATCCATGGTGAAAAGCCTCCTATTAAAAAAGATGTAGAAGGACCGAAGATACTTAGATCTGAAGTTTGCGCCGCTTTTTCTATAATGAAATCAAATACAGCACAAGGTCCAGATGAGATAGCTGGTGAAGAAATTAAATGCCTCGATGAATTTGGCGTTGAAAAAGTGACAAAAATTTTGAATGAAATATATAACAGCGGCAAAATTTCTGAAGATCTATCCAAGTCAGTATTTAGTGCATTGCCTAAAAAACTTTAAAAAAATGAAAAAAAGCTTGCAAATTAACATCCACAAAACAGAGTACATGATTATCAGTAAAAGCAAAATTGCCCCGATCTGCTCCATAATCATTAGTGGTAAAAAGACGAAACAAGTCAATAGATTCAATTATTTCGGAAGTCTGATTATGGATATCAAAAAAAAAGATAGCTATGGCGATATTATAAAATGAAAAACATCCTCACCAGCAGTAAATTCAGAAAATCAATAAAATTAAAACTGTTGGAATGTTACATTTTTCCTGTGCTCACTTACGGATTTGAGTCTTTGACAATTTTTAAAGAAGTGGAAAAAAAAATTAATGCTGCTGAAATGTGTTTTTGAGAAGAAGAGATTGCGGTCAACAACGAATAACATTCGTGAAGTCCTTGTGTCACTTGTTGAATATTACCACATTTAAAATGCTACAAAGTGTTAAAGATAGGGTTTTGTGGAGGCCGATGGTTGCCAATGTCCTGAAAGGAGAAGAAAGTATAAATAAAATGATGATCTGCATGACGAAGTCATCTAATGGAAAGTTACAATGTCGTCATTTGCGTGGTTGTAGTATATATATGTATAGTATATGCTAGTGTATATATATATATATATATATATATATATATTACGTTGAAAGAGGATATATGATTATATATATATTATTGGTAAACAATTACCCGCCATAGACCAAACGTACTTATAAACTTATTTTCCGAATTCATGCTGCAAATAAGTTTATTTTGAATTTTAATAAATTAAACGTTCATATAGATGCAATTAATGATTAAATTCACAGCATGTTCCGCGTTAGTTAGCTACCTATTTAATTTTTCGTTTTTTCTGACAGTAGATCGAAAATCAATGACAATTTTGGTATTCCTACAAAATCTTCGGTATTCGAATTGATATTCGTGTGGCAAAGAACAAAAAATAAGCAACAACAACAACAACAGCAATACAACTAGCAATAACAACAAAAACAGCATAGAAATATATTATAAGGACCACATATCAATTGCTTTTGAAGAGGATGAAAAAATCATGAAAAGAATAATAAAAAATAACGTATAAGCAGCAAACGAAAACAATGTTATATTCTATATATTATATATGCTTATTCTTAATTTTTTCTACATTGCTCGACGAAGGAAATTTATCCACTATTTCCCACCAGATTGTCACTATTTAATTTTTTTATTAATGTTATTATGACGCGAAAATGTTATAGGCATCTGAAAATTTCTGATTTGCCAACGTTTAACTGAATTAAAATAACTGCTTTTCAAAAAATTTGTTGCAGGGTCCCCAAAGAGAATTGCGTGTTATTTTTGAATCAATTCAAACAACGCTCTTTAGAGACTCAGTTTAATTTTGTAAACACTTTTGATACAAAACGATTAAAAAAATAAAACAAAATTTATTTTGAGATAAGTTTATCGTATTAGAAATAATTTAAAAATTAAACAATAGCAATTTTCATCTCAGTAAACTTGAGTGAATATTTGTGGCCCTTGAAGGCCAACCAATTGACGCCATCGGCATGCGTTGTATGAACTCCTTTCAAATAAACGCCGTTGAGATTGGAATGATGGCAGGCACCGTACCACCAGGCCCCTTTAAATTCCACCGCGCAATTTTGACCATAGGTGTCGTGATCGGCGTCATAAGTGCTGAACTGCAGATTGTTGTGTTGACTGAAAGAATCACCTACGTTGAGCAGTTGTGATATCGAGGTAGAAAAATACTCATAGTAATATATCGGTAGCTAACACACCTGCATCTCCTGAGTAGCCTCCAACAGTCAGTTTGTAATTGGACTCCGGAGGACCAACGCTGAAAGTGCTGTACAATGCACAGCGCACAATTTTTTCAAAATCTTCCATAACCACGAGTAATTTGTAATTGTTTTTGGACGTTAATTCGTGCAGCTTGTTGTTACCTAAATATAAAACCCTCGTTTATTTGGATAAAACAAAACATTAAAATAAATAACATCACCGATCCAGAATTCTCCTCCTTTGTTGCCAAATCCCAACTGGTAGTCTGTCCAGTTTCTATAAAAGTTAATTGAACCATCCATACGTCGTTGTATTGGCTGTGTAGTAAATATTGAAATTCATCTTTTGAATAAAAATCAAGCTACGATTACAGAAAACGTAACAGATGTCTTACAGTCCAAAAGTTATTTTCTAAATATCTTTCGCATCGTTCTTCAACCTGTTTTATAAATTTTCATTTTAGCATTTTGTTACAAAGACTGTTACAAAATGTTGATGACGTGCATTTACTTTTGTACGATTGAAAAACTTCAAGTCTGAACATCTGACGCGCCGTGTCGTCTGATCGCCTGAAATTAAAAATTATTAAGAGACAGTTTGTTCGTTATATTCAACACAACAAAAGATATCTAAGTGAATTTTCTAACTTTCATCTTTGCATGTGTCCAACTTTCTAAACTGAAATAAATCAGAAGTTATATTTAAAAATAATGTGAACAGAATGGAAGCGGATAGTTTCATAGCAACCTTCGTTAAGCTGTCTACAGTTTTCAAATGTCTCATAACCACAGTTGTCAATATTTCTTCACTGTTCGAAACTGAATTAACAACAAACTGGTTGGCACCTGCTTGGAGTGTGTTGAACGTCGAGTTTCATTATTAGAATTGACATTTTTAAGAATTATTTGATAACCATAATATAACGTAAATTTATATTGTCTGTTGAATTGATGAATTGATAAGTTTATTTTCCAACTGGAGTCAAATATAAAATTGAATTAACACACAAACTTGTGTCGTTTCTTTTTATTTCCTAAAAATAAAAACTTTTTTATCATCTTTATTTATATAAGATATAAAGTATAAACGATTAATCAATTAATTATCTTTTAAAGTATAATTATTTATTAGTATTAAAGTATTATTTATTATTAACAATTAATTGTCTCGAATTGGTTGCGTGCATAGTCCTGCAACGTCTTTTCATGAGCAACTATCAATACATATCATTCAATCTCATCAACTTGATCCTACTACTTTTTATTAACTCAACACAATAGATGTATGCCTACTAGAGTACCTTTATATAATGGGAATATATTTTAGAATATAAAAAACCTGGTAGAAGACGCAGTCATCATTTGAGAGGTACAGAATCGGCCTGGTGAGGAACAAGTGGCAGAATATGCCATCACCGCTTGCTGTCCTGCTGTTTCTGAAGTTGAACCCAACGCACTGGTCGACAGTTCTGCAGGACCATGCACATTTGGCGAGCATGGTGTCGCTGTAGTTGTTCCACTGATTTTCATACTGAACGTCGTACAGACTGGTTGCTATGCTGATGACGTTGTTGTCGTCCGTCGTTGCGCAGGCGAGTTTTATCAAGCAATCGCTTGTGTCATTAGAGTTGTTTAAAGGAGTTGCCACGGCTGTCGACCTTAGAACACATGCCTCTGCCTCCAGGACTTGATAAAATGTGAGTAAAAGTATAACAATTTTGTTAGACATGTTAGTGTTTCGCTTTGAAAGCAAGCTGCAAGTAGGGTTGTAATGTATCAATGCTATTTATATGTTGGACTTCAAACGGTTCTCATAACTACGTACTTCGTTCAAAATTTTTCACTTGAATTTCTTCGTAATGTCTTTTTTGAACTTTGTTATTTTCACCAAATTATTATTAAATTGTGAACATGGATCCAGTAATAATTCAGCCTAAGTTCATCTATTTATATAAAAATTAAATAGGAACATCCATTAATGTCATCAACATCAGAAATACCATGCCAGTACAAATTCTGCGAATTATTTAAACCGTATAGACTGAGTCGTTGTTATTCATTGTTATTGTTATTCATCAGAAACTCCAAACTTATTTATTAATTTCAAGAACTTGTTAGATGCTCGCCAGCTTTTTCGCTGAAATATCGAATCATATTAATGCACAAATACAAGCATAATCTTAAAACTAATTATACCGTTCTTTCGGGAATGCTGTTCATAGGCCTAGCCTACCTGACGGTTCGTTACATCGATGAATAATAAATAATCACCAGGAAAACAAGATTTAAACGTCTTCAATCTTACACTTACTAATCTTTCTAAATGAGTTACTAATAAACGATGCGAAGTAAATGCAATAAAATACATCGTATGCCAACCAAAACCTAATTCGAAAGTGTCTGAGAACTCGAATTTAAGAACATTCGGGACTCCAAGTAAATAGCACCTGTTAACAAGCACTGATATGATAAAATGAAAAGGTTTTATTGAAAATATTAAAAAGAAATAGTCCATTATCCTTTTATTATTGATAATTTTGAAAACATATGCAAGTAAATAATATTACGAAAAATTTTTCATTCGTACGCTCATAGAAATGAAAAAAAAAACAATTACCATATTCATATAAGTTTGGTTAATGAAAGATCTAATTAACAAAGGAATTTTCATATTCTAAATTTATATATGCACAAGTTTTTACATGCACTATTCCGACCTGGGCTGCCTGTGCATCGTCAGGTATCAAAATAAGATGATGATTCAACACATTTCAGTAGCTGTAAAAGTGCAGGCACAAGGAAAAAGTATAAAACAGTTTACGGTATTGCTAACTTCATGTGAAATATTCAAATTCAATTTATAACGTGTAAGCAGATCGGGAAATGGCTGTTAAAATAGAATGTGGAAAATCGAACACGCCATGAAAAGTTGATAAATTTATTTTTAGCGTCCAGTCAATTCAAGAAAAACTTTTTATAAGACTTGAAATATTAACTAAAACTAGTGACAAAATCAGTTTGAACAAATTTAAGCATCGTCTGATTGAAAGTCACCCGATTTGATGTCAATGAATAACGACAGACTAGTTATTATCAGTTGAACGCTTTTAACGAAAGCATTAAAAAAGCTAACTCTGTTATATGCAACCAATAAAAAAAATAAAAATAAAACTAATTAATGTGCCATATAGAAGGAATTAAAAGGAAATAAGATACAACATTACATAAATTGCAAGTGTTCCAACAAGTAGCTCATAAAAACAGACTCAATTATATATTAATAACATTAGGATTCGTTGCAAGCAAAATCAAAATCACTGCAATTTAAACTCAGATTTTAAAGCATTTCCTCCATTTACCTTCGTCCGAAACAAATTAGATTTAACAATTTCAACCATATAACCATGAATGAAACAAAATAAATTCGAATCTCGCAGTGTTCACGTGACATTTAAACAAACTTTATCTTTCTTCATGTTTATCAAAAAAAGTTTTTATAGAAAAATATGTTTCTATAAAAAAATATGTTTCTGCCTTTTATAAACTACGCTGAGAAACTGGTACACTTTCCTTGCCGAATTCTAAGTTAACGAGCAAACTATGTGATCCAGGTATTTGAATGACGTTGAAAACTCCATACTCCTAACCCTACACTACCATTAAATATTTTTTAATACTTCATCACGCAGAGCCCTCTTATATATCGTTCCTTACTCAGTTAAAATAAAAATTTTCGTGCCAAAAGGCTGCATGTACATCCAGACCACACGACGTGCACTATCAATTTGTCTGCACGCGCAAGCACCGTATGCAAAACGCATTGAAAATTCGGTTAGGTGGTTGTCGAACCACTTTTACTGATTCAACTCACAATTGCATGTAATTTTATTTAATAATTTGTTCATTCATACATATGTATATAAATATATGCACCTCATTTATATTCATACATATTAATACGTGCACCTCAAAACGAAGAAAACTAAAAATTTGTCGATGGTTAGATATTAGAGTACCGAATTCAAATTCAATAAAAAACATTTCATATTCGAACAGATGTCGGCGCGAGTACTGGCAGACTGAAGGAATCGGACATCTGATGGAGTCCGCCATCCTCAACGTCGGCTCGCTCCTGCATGTTCCGACGGTATACCTCATCGAATCAGATGCCAGACAGACAGACAGACAGACAGACAGACAGACAGACAGACAGACAGACAGACAGAGTTATAAAATGAAATGTGGTTGGACGAAGATAGGTTGCGACAATAAAGTGGAATAATCATACATTATTAACACGACAATGATAATATACAGAAATAATATTAGTAGTAATATATTAATAAATATTTATAGAATACGAATAAAGAAATGATCGGTGTGATAAGAAGCCATGTTGTCGCTTGGAAAGCAGCGACACAACGAAGCAGCTCAGCAATGGGGTGATGAAATAACAAAGCGGAAGTGGACGGCTCGATGATGATGATGAGACCTGCTCAGCAGTTCTATCTCGTGCATATATTTATCTACATGTTAATCAAGTCTATATGCCAGGACTAACTGCAAGAACACGATGAAGCGACAATAAATTAAAACCAGTAAAAAGTTCTAACTAAAGTTTAACATAAATAAAATGAAAATTAATTAAAATGTTATCGTAATAAAAGGAACAACCGAATGCAAGTTAAAATGAAAAAAAAACTACAAGACTACAACTATTAGTGATGATACTAAAGAAATTGTTCCTGTTAATGAATGGTGATTTGTTAATCAAAATAACTTTCAGGTTGTTGTCAGGATGTCATTATTTTTAGAAATAAAATTGAATAAGAGTTTGTCGATGATGTAGATAAACAACAAAAATAATAAAATAATACTAGAAGCACCCAATTCTGAAATAATGTTTAATAGATGTGTGAACATCACAAATTCAATACAACGCGACAGCAGAGCAAAGGAACTTCACGAATGTGCCACACCTCCGCATTCAGAGCAAAACTCCCTTGTCAGTATTTTGTGATCCTACAAAAGATTCAGTTTCAAAAGTTTCAGATGACAAAGATTATTTTCCATTTTTGTCGGTACGCGAGAAGATACATCAAGTACATTAATCTATTCAAATAAAGCTGTAAACACCTCTGACACTGGCAGAATGTCAAATTAATAATCTACACACTACTTTATAGGAGGGGTCTCAAGCCACTCCAAACAAATTATTCCACGAGTGGACAAAAATTTAAAGCGAGGGAGATGGCGAAGGGAAGAAAAAATGCGAATGTTGTATAAGCGTGAGGACAAAAAGTTCGAGCGGTTTGGAGATGGCTTGAAGAAGGTCAAGCGATCCGATGGTGGGTCGGGTGAGGGTGGGCCACCAGCAGATGGAGAGGTTGCGGGGGTCCATGTTGTTCTCCTGCTGGTTCTCAGATATTCTGTGTGATGTTTTGAAACATTATGTATCAGGATAGCTTGAAAATAACCGGGAAACAAATAACAAAAAAAAAAATAAATAAAATGTAATGACCTGTGAATGTGAGAGATGATGCGCTTCAAAACGTGCTGGTTGATGGGGGGCAGCTTGCCGATGATGTGTCGGATCTCATTCATCTGGTCCATCCTGTCTTCTTTACCTTCGTAATCATTTCAAAAGATTGCAGAAAATGAAGTAAGAATAACCACAATGAACAAAACAACATAATCATTCTTTTTAATTAGGATTATAATTAATTAATTAATGAACAATATGTAGCCTGCTTGAGTTTAAAATCCGTAATAAATTCTGAGAACGAAAAAAACAAAAATTTGTCGTCGGTTGAACCATCATAACGAAGAAAGTCAATGGAGTAAATAAAACTGGATTAAATGTTTCAGAATATACATTACAAAATGCGGAAATTTAGAAACCGATGTCAGAAAATGAAGTTGTTAACAGAAATCAAAACTGAAAATTCAACACTTAGGAAAGTAATAAACGACTTCAGATGTTCAGAAACTGTGTCTGAAATGTTGAAGAAAGCAGGGCCGTAAGGTTGATTGATTGACAACTGACAACTTTATTAAAATGAAAACTTTATTAAGTGACAACTTTATTAAAATACGAAAAGTGGATTCGTTGAAACTCTCTTTCAAGGCAAACAAGAAGCTAGACTGCAGGAATTATGAAAAAAAAATACACTTTACGCTTGGTAAAGCATTTAAAGAAGAAGCCGACAGATGCACATCTTATAGCTAACCAATTGAAAAATATGAAAAAAAAATTTAGATCTGCACAAGTTAACAGAAAAAGGTTTATGACAAGATGTCGTCCAGTCTGGCGAAAGTAGGGCAAATGTCTGTCGGACAACGATGGGCGGGATGAAGTTCAGAAAGTGGTTGAGTTTTATTTGCTGCCTATCGTATCAATAGATGTGTTGTGTGTTGTAAGGAGGTCGAGAAGAAACTAAAAATCAAATCAAATCATTATTTATTTAATCAAACAAAGCAAGAAGTATGAATGATTCGGAGACCAAAAAAAAGAAAACTAATTCTTGTGGGCTCGGCCACCGTGTAACTTAAAATAGCTTTTCAATGTTCTGATAATGTAACGAGAGTAAATTAGAATTAAAATAAAATAAAATTGTTAATAGAAGATAGTTATTTGTTCAACATAGAATTTAATCACAGTACAACCCTCTGAGGAATGTCAATAGAGTGAATAACATAATAATAATAAATGATGGAGATGCGAACTAGCTCATTATATACTGACTACTTGAAAAAGAGGTTGAAAAAGAGGGTAGCAAAGAATAGAATACTCAACAAATCGCCCTCAAGAGATGATCAACCCCACGAGGAAATGTGTAAAATGAAGAAGTCGTAGATGAAGTGGGTCACCGCATAAAAATTAAAAATATATCACGTTTGGAAATGTTTGTTGGTAAGAGTTGCAGGGGACAAGTGTGTGCAAGTGTTGGAAATGGTCAGTTCAAGGACGAAATCGAAATTCTGACTTTGTAATAGTTTTGTTTCTTTTAAAACGTCACTGATGATGGAGATGCGAATGATGAATAATCACGTTCCAATGCGTGCGTGAGAGCATTCTAGTGTGCATAAATAGACGGCCAGGAAAGTGACTAAAAAATGCAACCAAAGAAAACAATCCAGTGAGTCGATGACTATTTATACGATGCACATTTTAACTAATTAAACAGGTCTACATTAAAGGTCACGAAATTGTCACGTTTGTAAGTAATTTCTGAGTCCGCAATACGCACGCAAACATGTATCAATTGAAATGTCATTGTTCAAGCATGAACAAATAAAAATACAAACTGAATAAACAATAACATTCAAATACATAGAGAAATGATGGAAGTAAAAAAACGAACCTATGGCCTCGCTGATCAGTGGATGGAATTGTTCAGGCACAAGTGGCTCCAGAAGATTCTGAAAGAATGATTTGAGTGCGGTGGCGATGACATTAGCTGGAAGGTCCATGCTCACGAAATCGATGCTGGGATCTGTTAATACGGCAATATATCTATCACTGATTGTATGTCTCTGCATTAGAACATCAACAAAACAACAATAATTTAGTGAACATAAAAAATTCATTCCCACTTTTCAAAAAAAAAACAAAATCTATTGAGCCCAATATACCAGCCACTGAACCTAATACAGACAAAACGAAACAACATCTCATCTTGAATGAGTTCTCTGAAATGCATGTAATAACCATCTAATAGAAAGACTCCTTCATAACAATCAGCATTTCACTTTTTGCCTAAAAAGTAGACAACCAAAAACTAGTCATTTGTGCTCCAACCCAGCAAAAATGTCATAAAGCAGACTATAAGCATATCTGGCTTCAATTGTTTTATAATTCAGTATTTGCATATAAAAAAAACTTGTTTACAAAACTTGTTGGTTAGTTTAAAAACTTGCCACAAGACTTGTTAGCAAAACTTGTTTGAAAAACTTGTTTACAAAACTTGTCACGCAAACATATTGTTAGCAATGAGCAATCACCTTCATGGAACCGCTTGATTAAGTAGTTGACATGAGCTCGATTGCCTGGAACTCTATAGATGCCCTCAAACGACATGCCATGCTCTTCAATGTACGAAATGCACTTCTCAACAAACAGAGGGAGGGGCTTGTCGCTTGATTGGCATAGTGTGCTCAGGCGATGTTGTTTAACGTCCTTTTTCGTTTTATCTGTTCATCAATTTAAACATTTCATTAGCGTTTGGTCTGGATGTTTGTTTGTTGGATGGTTTTAGAAAAATAAAAGCAGAAATATATCCATTGAGAAAATTTTCGTTCGATTCTCCTTTTGAAATGGAAAAAAACATAAAAAATAGCAGCAAACTGTTGATAGTTACGATAACGAAAGAAAAAATAAAAATATAAACAATAAGAACATCAGCTATAATAGCGCAAGCTACGTGCAACATTTTGTATGCAATTAACCAACAAGAAAAGATAGAAAGTGCATCCAACAAACCCGCAGTTGAAGATGATGATCGATCTTTCTTGTTTGGTTTGGTGCTTGATGGAGAATCACTGGCTGACTTCATCCATCTCCTCCAATAACCACCATCTATGTTCTTCACATCCTTCATCGCCTTTGTTGTTTATATATATATATATATATATATATATATATATATACAGTGTATATATATATATATCCACACACACACGCACACACACACATATATGTATATGAAAATCACAGCATGTTCGGCGTTAGTTAACTTCCTATTCAACTTCTCGATTTTTCTTACGGTTGAACGTAAATCATTTTCAAGTTTTTTTAGTTCAAAACCAAAATATTTGTTTATTTTATGCATGATAGAACAAAAAAGCTTTATTTGGTATTAGTCAAATAGGAAGTTAACTAACGCCGAACATGCTCTAATTTTCATCAATAATTGCATTTCTGACAGTCTTAATCCAATATATATATATATATATATATATATATATATATATATATATATATATATATATATATATATGTTGGTAATAGACCATAATTTTTACAATATTCTATAAATTCTACCGAACGTTTGGCGTTAATGTTTGTAGTTCGTTTTTTCGATTTTTCTCACTAAAGTTTTTTGGTGAACGTTTAGTTTATTAAAATTAAACTTATTTTTCAAATTCATGCTGCAAATAAGGCCATATTTCGATTCCGAATGAATCATCATCAGTGCTCCTTGCTGTATATATAGGGAAATATTGACTTTGTCAAGATGAACTTTGACATTGTAAAAATTAACTTTGGTGTTGTAAAATTGAACTTTGATGTGAATTAGGTGTCAGGTTTCTTTATTGGCTGGTCATCTTCTTTGGTCTCCTTTTCTTCATCGATAGCATCATATTCTTCTTTGTTGTTTTGAACAAAATTTTAACCCCATATATTCCAAACAATTACACACTACAATCTATTATCTAGAGTTTATTAATCTCCTCAGCATTAATAAACCATCCAAATTTATTGCCTCTCTGGATGTTGAATCACTATTCACAAATGTACCAATTCATGATACAATTGACATAATTATCAACATCGTTTACCACTCAGATATGGTTCCATTGAACATACCGAAAGCACAACTGAAGTCCCTTCTTCAAATTTGCACTACTGAAGCACCATTCCACAGCCCCACAGGCAAACTTTACAAGCAAATCGATGGTGTCGCTATGGGTTCCCCCCTTGGCGTCCTATTTGCCAGTTTTTACCTAGGACAGCTGGAGAATGAAACATTCAAAAACAATGCAAATTTAAAACCAAATATCTACGCCAGATACGTGAATGATATCTTAGTCTCCTATAACGATCCTGAACAAATCACCCAACTTCTTGGTACCTTAAACAAATCAAAACTTAGATTTACCATTGAAAGTGAAAAGGAACAACGTTTACCTTTCCTCGATGTGTTGGTCACCCGTGGCGAAGAACGATTCAAAACCGCGGTTTATGTCAAAGAAACGAATACAGAAATTTGTTTGAATGGACAAAGTGAATGCACCGAACAATTTAAAGACAGCACAATAAAATCATTTGTGAACCGGGCATTCACACACTCTTCCGATATTGAAAATCGCGACGCTGAATTAAAGAGAGTCACTAACCTGCTTGTAAACAATGGATATAAGACTTACTCTATTGAAAAGATTGTTAAAAGCAAATTACCACACAGCAATAACCTTCCTAGTACCAACAATCAAGATAACGACATCATCTTGTATTACAGAAATCACATGTCAACTGCATACAAGGTAGATGAAGCTATTCTTAAACATATCATCAATAAAAATGTCACACCAACTAACCCAAATAGTAAAGTTAAACTCCGAATTTATTACAACAATAAAAAGACGTCTCACCTAATACTGAAAAACAACTGCAGTCCTAGAGATAACTCTGAGCTAAAGCGTAATCACGTAATATATGAATTTAATTGCCCCTTTGACGGCTGTGCACGTCAACATGACTCATATATCGGGATTACTACTACCTCACTGACTAGAAGGCTTACGATGCATAAACAGAGTGGTGCTATCAAATCTCATTTGGACTCAACACACTCAATCACAATTAGCCGTGAAATCCTCGACAGCAACACCAAAGTAATATACCAGAACAGCAACTACACGCATCTTAAAATTGCAGAAGCAGTCCTAATTGACATCAATAAACCAAAAATAAATATACAACAAAAAATGACAACCTCACTTCCAACCCGGCACTTAACCAACAACGAAAACAAAGAAGTAATAAAAACTAGCATCGTAAATAGTGACAAAGAAGAATATGATGCTATCGATGAAGAAAAGGAGACCAAAGAAGGTGACCAGCCAATAAAAAAACCTGACACCTAATTCGCATCAAAGTTCAATTTTACAACACCAAAGTTAATTTTTACAACGTCAAAGTTCATCTTGACAAAGTCAATATTTCCCTATATATACAGCAAGGAGCACTGATGATGATTCATTCGGAATCGAAATATGGCCTTATTTGCAGCATGAATTCGAAAAATAAGTTTAATTTTAATAAACTAAACGTTCACCAAAAAACTTTAGTGAGAAAAATCGAAAAAACGAACTACAAACATATTAACGCCGAACATTCGATAGAATTTATAGAATATTGTAAATATATATATATATATATATACAATATATATATATATATATATATATATATATATATATATATATATATATATATATACCTCATTTTTCTTTGGAGGGTGCTTCTTTTTGATGGCGTGTCGTTTCTTGAAGGGAGTGTTCGTAGCGACCAACTGTTCATTTGAGGCCGTATCACTTCCTTCCGACAAATAGCATGCATCTGCTGCTCAGGGAATGAAGTTCAAATAGGTGTTTGAAATAAATTAACCGCGAATCAATTCCCCAAACATCTGCTGATGTGTTCAACATCATTAACAACCTGGCTCAAACTTAAATACTCGTAACCTTTAAACATCTTTCGCCGAAATAATTTTATTTATTTGCAATGAACTTATGAAAGAACCGAATGAAAAAATAGCCCTTTTTATTTTGAAAAGCCGATGTCGATATTGGTAATACAATTGTTAACAATCCTGCTGCTAATATAATTATATTATTATTAATTAATCACATTAACAATGATAATAATGATAATGATAATGCTTTTCAAAAGGAAGAAAAATTCGCATGAGTCAAGAAACATTTTATTAGGAATAGTCGAATGAAAACAACAGGCTGATGTCAACTTGAAAGCATAAATGTGAATGAAAGTACATGACTACTGGGCAGGTCAGTTTACATAAAATTAAAGTACCTTATAATTTGAGTACGTAAATTAATTAAACCGACAACGAGTGAATAACATGATGACGACACGATACCAATGAAAAAGTCTGGAAAAAACTGTGTAATCTTTTACAAAATAAACTAAAAAAATATAATTACGATCTATTTGGTTTATTGATACAGTGCACGACCTGTAATAAATTAGATGAAAATGTGTTTGATGATTGCAGCATACTGGTTTGCCACCACATTTCTAGGAAAGTCGTGCGGCCAAAATAAGTTTAACGATGGTGTAGACATAAAGGATTTAATGGTTTTTGATGACTTGAGAAAGATTTAGTAAATGGCATTAAAAAGTCGTAACTGTTCCATCAATTTGTTTTAAACTTTGACCTAAATAAGTTTCAAATTTACGTTTAAAATAAAAGGGCTCAACAAACCAGTCTGTGGGATGCTCTGGTTTGCAAGTTGCTTGTCATCCTCGCCGTGAGAGAGGAGCGAGATGGCATCTTCAAATGACTGGCACTTCTTCAGCAACCCCAGTTTGTGTTGTCGTTTGGTTTTAGGCACATGTGCATCGGCATTCGTGTTCATGTTATCGTCGACGTTGCCGCTGTTGAAAATGTTGGCGATGTCGTTGTAGGTGGGTTCGACCTCCCCGGCCACATCCTTCCTGCTGCCTCCGAGCGCGTCACTGCTTTCTAATTCGTCGACTTTGTTATCATCTGCAGAAGAGAAAAAATTATCATTCATCCATCCATCTATCCATCCATTCATTGATTCATTGATTCATTCATTCATTCATTCATTTACTCACTCATTCATTCTGTGACATCAACAATCCTACAGCTCTCACCACAGCAGCATCAACGTAACGAACCTTGCGTATTAAGTTTGACTCGTTGCAACTTTCCGGTCGGGAGAGCATCGAGAACAGAAGCATACAGAACATGTTGACTGCTCGAAGTTGTGCCCGCTGATGGCAGGGCGGCCAGCATGTCCTTGAATTGTGGCGCGGTGTGGGAGATGATATATATATATATATAGTAGTGATTAAGTGACGCCTTAACGATAAGATGACTGACAAAGATATGACGGCATGGTATGATGATAATGAAATGGCGATATTACGGTGATATAATGTCAAATAAGTGATATAATTATGAAGGAAAATTGACTTGATAATAGTACAATTGTGATCAATTAAAGCGTGCAAATGTTACCGTAGTGAAAAAAATGTAATGGTATAATTTAAAAAAATTCAATAAAAAAATCTAATTTAAAAATTTAATAATTATGGCGTAATCAGTGACGTCATAGATCATTTGAAAAATTATTATAGTCACAGAGGTGATAGTTTGATTGGTTTAAATGCACGAATAAATTCAATAACAGACAAAATTGCATGCAAAAATTAAACAAAAGATCGACAAGTACTAATTGAGAAAATAAATAAAAAAAATTAATTATAAAAATTATATTATAAATATTAAAAAAATAAAAGTTAAAAAAAACAAATTATACAGTAACTTAATATTTGCGACTCGAAGAATAAACAAATCAAGTGAATAATTTTGAAGATAGAAATTCAAACAGTTGAAACGATCACATCATCGTTAACGGTTTCCCCATAATTTCATTCACCATTCTTGCAAGCACCAACTCCCCCTTCTTTAACATCTTTTAAAATAGCTTTCTGATTCATATTTAAAATTCGTTACAGCAGTACATGTCATTTCAAATTCCTTGTAGATTGTTGCTAAATTAAGACTTAGATTGAAATTAAAATATTTTCTTATTGGAGCTTAGAAAAAAAATGATCATTAGTTTAAAAAATCGAAAGTGTGCTATTTTACTGCCATTGGAAAGAGAGAAGGTAGAAACTACTTCCGTTTCCGTATTAGTGATTGTGTTACCATAGCATGTTAAATAATTTCACGCATTTTAAATATTGCTACACTTAAAAAACTGCATGAAAGTACAGTTGGTAGTCTTCAACGACAATCAGTGCATTCAACCAACCAGCCAGCCAGCCAGCTAGCCAACCAACAAACTAACCAACCAAGTCAAGCGAGTATAAAACGAACGAAACGTAATGAGAAATTTGATGTGATATTGAGATCTTATAAACACTCAAAATAACATGGCACATGAACATTGAAATTAAAATTTACAAAACATTTATAACAAAAATAAAACTTATTAAAAAAGTTACTGTATCAATTTTCACTCACCAATCCCTATCAAGTAAAGAAAACAAATGAATTTATTCAGTTTAGAATATGAATAGTAATGAAACAAGAATTTTATGCTGGTTATAAGCTGTAACAAATAAATAAAAATCTATAGCATAGAAAAAATGCCATACCACTGGCTGGGCGTAGTCAGCAAACTCAACATGCTCGATGGGCAGTGAAATTTCAATTGTTTGTCTGCTGCCCTTTGCCGTGTTGGATACCTGGCAACAAATTAAATTAATCAACAGTGCTAAAATTTATCAGATGCTCATTCGAATACGTTTTATTCCAGTTTCAATCCAGTTTTATTTATTCAAACTAAAGTAAATATTATTGAATCGGTTTAGCGATTTTAATATTTCTTCAATTTCATTTCTTTATGTAAAATTAATAGAAAACCTTATTTTTTAAAAAGTTGGTGAGCGTTTTTTTCTTCTCATATGAGCTCGTGTTGACGTCTGTAGGAGAGGTTTAAGAATAAGAAATATCAACAATAACGCATGACCCACAAAACATAATTCTTTGTGATCACAACAGAACTATAAACAGTTGAACCCTATGCAATCAAAAAAAGAAAAAAATTAAAATCAGACTACGCTATGAAAAAATAACAAACTTCCATACATCTCTATATTTAAACATAATTCATCCCTTCTAATTCATCTCTCAAGATCATGTTCTTGAAAATTTGCAGACAGTTTACTTGAGACCGAAAAACTGCTCACGATTCTATTTTGAACTTGTGGTAGTGGTTTCAAAAGCAAAGTGTATTACGTACTCTTAAATTTTATATAAACTTAAGAACCAAATTTTTTTAAATTTAAATTTAATTAGCGTCTATATCTATATATATATATATATCAGTATATATATTAGACACATAGGATGATTCCTAGCTCTACATTGTTTATATATATATATATATATATATATATATATTAGACACGTAGGATGATTCCTAGTTCTACCTTGTTTATATATATATATATATATATATATATATATATATATATATATATATATATTATTAATGAAAACGCCGATCATGTGATTTTCATCAATAATTGCATTTCTGACAGTCTTAATCCAATATATATATATATATATATATATATATATATATATATATATATATATATATATATATATATATATATTCTTTTATTTACTTAATTATATGTCTACTTTGGACGACTTCATTTAATTTTTAAATATCATCTTTTTGACGCTGGTGGTCAAAGAAGACTATCACAAGATATTATCTTATTTTGGTCTCCAGGTCTTTTTCAGTTCGATTTTATTTTCAGTTTGTTCTGGATTTGACGAATAAAATTTTCAAAAAAAAAGTTTAAACATGCATACAAGCGTTCAAAACAATAACAATTTAACAAAATAAACTCGAATGTAAATGAAAACGAGAGAGAGAGAAAAATTAACTAAAAATACTGTACTTCAAATAAATGAATCTATATAGAAAATTTAAATAAAACGAAATGATAACAACAATTATAATAAAACATTCTTGTCATTTATTCGTAAGAATCTGAATAATTGAGATAATACGAGATGAACAAAACAATAAGAAGCCTGCCCCCATCGAGTTGGCAACTAAATTTTTCCAAGCAACACTTGAACATCCATCCATCCATAATATACATCAAAACATCTATCTAACAGCGTCTGCTGAATATTCATAAATTTGAACAATGCAAAATGCATCCAAACTATCTAATACAAAACCATATAATTACATTGAAATATATTTTAAAAAAGGGCGAAAGCGGCAAGACATGCTCTTAAAACCATGAAGCACTACTTTGACAAAAAACATCTAAAAAAAACCAAAATACGTTAACAAAACATTATCAATACAGTCAATAGATTATCAACACATCCACAGAGCAAAACCAACACATCTCAAAGTAACAATCACATAAGAAAACAAGACAACATTGTTACACATTAACAGATAGAGAACAAAAAATATTGCCTCCATCATCTTCATCCAATGCAAGCTTCATGCTGTTAGACTTCCTAAACTGGTATCTTGGTTGGCACTGGCGATTGTGCTGATTGTTGAGATTGTGAAGACGATTTTTCTGCTCATTGTGCTTAAACGAATGATTCTTATCACAAAGATTCATATAAATGGTGCTGTTGCAGTAACGAACGTTTTCCTGCAGCAGACTGACATCTGCGTTATAATAAACGTGGTCAGCAAACTCCTGTCTGAATCCGTTGACGGCAACTGTAGCATGATTTTCAAGTTCTTTATAATTTGAATGTAGAAATTTCAAGAAGGTCACATTTCTTAAAAGAAGAACCAGGATTCAATCATAGCTTTGAAATACATTGCAAAATAATAAAATATAAATGATAAACTTCATAAGAAAAAGGTTTCATTCGGTAATTTTAATTGTCTGCCTGTCTTAAAAAATAATATATGCTTCTAAGAATTATTATAAAAATTATTATTGAATAATTATAAAAATTTAAGAAAACAATAATAAAATTCGATGAATAATGATGATGAATATACAGAAAAGAAGAAAATGCGGTGATATTTTTATATTTCTCAACAACACGCCCGCACTCACGCACACGGGCGTATATATATATAAGGACATGACGGGGGAAGCGGAGTTTGAGTATAGGAAGGTTAAGAAGGTTGCAAAACGGGCAGTGGTAACTGCAATGACGAAAGCATCAGATAGGTTAGGTTAATGAGGGAAATGGAATTTGATGTGAGTTCAAGGAAAATGTTCAAAATATGGAAAGCAGTCAATGAGGGATAGGAAAGATGTTATGGGAAATAGATATGTTTGGGATGGATCTGGCAAGTTGTGCATAGATGAGGAGGAAAAAGCTCAGGTGTAAAAAGCTCATATGGAAAGTTTGATGAATGAAGAGAATGAGTGGAATGGAGATGTGGTGATCCGCGGTCACACACGGACCCATAGAGAAGGTGACGATGGAGGAAGTAGAGAAAGCAGTTAAAGAAATAAAACTAGGTAAGGCGACAGGGGTGAAAGCGAGGTTGCGTGATACTGAGGCGAGTGACAGATGTGAATGGCGTCGAGGGGTTTTTCGGTTTTATTATAGGTAGCCAAACGGCAACCCCTGATCTCGGGGAAAATGTCGTCTAAACGTGTGTTGTTGTTATATTTATGTGATAAAATATACCGAATTTTTTAGCTTATGAAAGTTTAATATTGAGTTTTTCATATTTCTAACAGTAATTTTGTAATTATTATACAATTTATTAAAATAAAAAAATAGAAAAGAAAATTATTTTCAAAAACGTGAAACCAGAAATACAGACGATTGAACTGAACCTGTGAATTTATTATCAAAATGCAAAAACGGCAAACCTGATAGTAATGAATCATTGCACGCTTTCCAAAAATTCGACCCTGGAAAGAAATCACCAAATATATGAGTTTAAATGCTCTCTTGACAAATGCATTCGTCAGTCACACTCATATATTTGGGTGACAACTATAGCCCTATCACGTCGCCTTACTATGCACAAAAGAGAGGGAGCCATTAGAACTCACCTGGAAACCATACGTCAAATGATCCCATCACGAACGATATTAGTAAACAACACTAGTATATTATATAGTAACAAGAACCACAACCAACTAAGAATTGCTGAAGCGATCTTCATTGACAAAACCGCAAATTAACAAGCAGCAAAGAATAGCAACATCATTACCGAGCAGAAAAATATTATTGAAAGACTTTACAGGCAAAAAGAATGAATAGGACAAGGATGTAATAAATGGACAGGACAAAGCAGATAAAAGCTCTTTGCACGCACATAGAATTGTAAAACCTTGAAATATCCATATGTAAGCGCTAATGATGAGTAAAATGGAAATATGGCTTATACACTTCACCATTATACCACCCTTAATTATAATAACTTAAATAATAATTATAAAATTACTGTTAGAAATATCGAAAAGCTCAACCGTAAACTTTCAAAAGATAAAAATTCGGTAGATTTTATCAAATATTGTATCAATTATGGTTTCCTTCCAGCATATTATATATATATATATATATATATATATATATATATATATATAATCATAAATTATTCGAAATGTGCATACATTATTTTTGGCCTAAAAATACTCACCAACCAAGCTCCTAACCTAAACCTATTAATTAATGGCGTTCCTATAAACCGCACCCTGTCAACCAAATTTCTTGGAATCACCATCACAGATAATCTTTCATGGAATTCTCACCTACCTCATGACAAACTACCTCAGACAAAATCAACAAACTCACAGGCATCTTCTACAAAATCAAATACAAACTCTCTCTTTCTGCTCTTCGCACGCTTTATTACACATTCATCTAACCTACTGCATCACACTATGGGGAAATAGTCCAAAAAGCCACCTGAATAACCTAATACTCTCTCAAAAAAAATCAATACGTTTAATTTTTAACCTCAAACCCGATTCCCATACTAAACCCTTCTTCCTAGCAAAAAAAATTTTACCACTTAACTTCATCTGTCTTTACTACTCTGCTTTATTCGTTTTTAAATTTATCAACAATCTTCTCCCACCTCACTTTATCAACTTCTACACATTAAGTAACTTCGTTCAATCTACAACCACTAGACACACCCCTCTCTTCTACATCTAAAAAACTCGCCTCAAATTAATCCAGACAAGCATAAAAATAACAGGTCCTAAAATTTGGACAGAACTTGTACCTCCCCATCTAAGAGCCATCATAAACCTACAACATTTCAAGTCAAAATTTCGTGCTTTTTTATTGACACTGGATCTCGACTCCACCACCTAATACTATATTAAGGATACGTTAGAATAAATGATGCGGATGAATGGTCTTTATGAATGGTTAAACATTTATGTGTTTATATATGTACTGAGCGAACATAGTTATATGTCTATATATGAATGACACGAACATTTACTTATTTATCTTCAATTACCTTTCTGCTTCAGTTATTTTCCTTATTTTATTCCATTAACTATTCATGTATCTACCTGCGGTGGCCACCACAAGACAAACAGTCTTATTCGGTCTCCGCATATTCAACTTCATAACTTTTATTCACTTATTTGATACGTTGTTGATTATGAATAAAACTTTGAAAATGAAAAATGAAATATATATATACATACATATACATATATATATAACCCCAAAAAATAGTAGAATTCTCAATTTGCAAAATTGAAACATTCTTGCATTAAAAACACAAAAAAGGTTATATAAACATCGTGAAAACGAAACCATAATCAAATAAATAAAATGATTAATTGATAAATAAATAAATAAATTAATTAATTAATTTAATTGGTGACCAACTGAGAAAATAAGAAAACAAATGAAATACTGAATGAATAAATAAGGCAAGTTAAAGTTGATTTCATCTCTGTAGTCAACGGTTGTTTTGTTTCCGTATAAGGTTCACGACGTAAGAAAGTTTTCATGTGAGAGTCCAGTAAATTTTGTGGTTTTTATTCGTAGTATATAGATGCATCCTTACAAGAACTGAATATACAAATCTATGTGAAATGTTATAGCAAATGTGACGTAACTGCATCGCACGTGGGCAAGAGATGAATGTATCATCTATAAGAGTTCATCGCAGCCAGTGAAAAAATTATGGTGCCGAGCAATTATGGACCGGTGAATTAAGCTCTGAACTATCCGGATGTAGACGAAATAACTATTAATGGATCGAATGCAGTTTCTCATCAGTAGGACAACTATGCAAACATTACTATCAACACAGCAATGAGTTGTTCTCATTCCAACGCAAACTCATGATTCGATTATTATTATTAGTAGTAGTAGTAGTAGTAGTAATTTTATTACAATTATTATTCAAATTGATTATTCATTATTTTCCGTAGATAGGATGATGTTGAAAACTGCTGAAGGGCTGCTTCATGCTGTGCTGAAGAGAGTCATGCCTCACTCCACACATCACAATATAATATTAATTTATAGTTTATATCCTATTCCGACCAACAAAAATTAATTCTACATCAACAAAACGCGATATTGTTGAAATAAAAAAAACGCTACACCCAAAAATTGCCATTAAAATGCAAAACGGAATGTTGGATACCGTGAAACTAAAAAAACATTCACAAATTAATCAGATGATGCAAAATATCGTTTTGTAAAACTTGCAAAACTAGTTCATAGCTCTAATATAGAAAATAGCTCAACGAAAAAAAAACTTAGCATTTACTTCATTAAAATTAAATAGGGTAACATAAACTTCAAATCAACTTCAACAGAAAATAATTGTCAACGTAAATTAATAAAAATAATAAATATTGTAAGATAAGCAAAAAATTGGTTTATGATGATTTGTCGCCACAAGAATATAGCAGAGCAAAGAACAATTTGTTATAAAACAACACAGTAGCAAAAATAACAACATTACCACAACATAGCAGGTAAACAACAACAACAACAACACCTACCAGTGCAGTTGGAAGATTTTTCTCTCTTGTGTCTGTGATGCAGGGATCTGGTTGGCTGTATGAGCTGATCTGTATCGAGTGTGTTGATCTCGCTGTAGAGATCGTCCTGAGGTAAGGAAGCAAAGACGGGGTTCGGGGAGTGCAGGTGAGATGTGAATGACATGCCTCGGTCTGCATCAGTCTCCGTACTCATGTGGTACAGACAGGACGGGTCTGAGTCATCGGCACTACTGTTGACAAATATTTTATTACTTTGAATTTAATATAAACTTGTATTAAATTATTATACTAACAAATAAAAAATGATTTTTAAATGAAATTTCAAAAATTTGTGGTGTCTTTGTTTCACATCAGATATCTTCTAAAAATTAACTTCATTCCGGTATTGCATAGATTTTTTAAAATTATAATAACGTGGAGTTAAACAAATTACTTTCTGCAGCAATCCCATGTTGTTGTTTTTTAACTCCAACAATTTATATAAATACTTTGCTATTTTTGGTTAGAATTTAAATTAAATTTGATTTAGTGTTTTTAAACATAATCAATCTTTTCCGTCCAAAAAAAACTATTTAAACTATTTTATAAATTTTATGTTTACTGGGTTTGCCTTTTACATCCAATCCATTTTAACGACTTTTTTGTTTTTTCATCAGCTAAATAAACAAATCTAGTGGAGAGGGTGCTTGAGAGGAGGTTGAGAAGTATGGTGACAGTTAATGAAATGCAGTGTGGGTTTATGCCTGGTAGGGGAACGGTGGATGCGTTGTTCATGGTGAGAATGTTGCAGGAGAATTATAGAAAGAAGAAACGAAGATTGTACATGTGTTTTGTGGATCTAGAAAAGGCTTTTGATCGAGTACCGAGGAAGGTCATTGAATGGGCGTTGAGGAAGAAAGGAGTGAATGAGAGACTTGTTAAAGCTGTGATGCAGCTGTATGAAGGGGCAAAGACAAAGATGAGGGTTGGAAAGGGGATGTCGGACGCTTTTAGTGTTAAGGTAGGAGTGCATCAAGGATCAGTGTTATCACCGTTTCTGTTTGCAATTGTGATGGATGTTGTGTGTGGAAACATAATGGAGGGGTTGTTATTTGAGATTTTGTATGTAGATGATTTAGTCTTGATGGCTGATAGCATGGAAGAATTGCAGTTAAAATTTGACAGATGGAAAAGTGTTATTGAAAAGAAAGGGTTAAAAGTTAATATTGGTAAGACGAAGGTAATGGTGAGTGGGGAAGGTGGGGAGCAAGTGATAAGTAAAATAGACCCCTGTGGGGTATGTGACAGGAGAGTGAAGGCTAACTCGGTGTTGTGTATAGGATGTCAGAAATGGGTGCATAAGAGATGTAGTGGTTTGAGGGGGGCATTGAAAAAGGTGGAAGGCACGTTCAAATGTAAAAAATGTGTTCATGGTGTGATTAATAGGACGGACGCAAGGACGGGGTTGAGTGGTGGTATTGAAAGAGTGGAAAGCTTTGTTTACTTAGGGGATAAGCTGAATGCGGATGGAGGATGTTTGAGCGCAGTTACGGCTAGAGTTCGTGTAGGATGGATGAAATTTAGGGAACTGGGTGGGGTATTGTGTGGAAAGAAATGGTCAGTGAAGATGAAAGGGAGGGTATATAAAGCATGTGTGAGAGCAGCGATGGTATATGGCGGTGAAACTTGGGTGTTGAGGAGAGAGGAGGAAAGTGTACTGCAGAGGGCTGAAAGAGCTATGGTGAGGATGATGTGTGGGGTTAAAGTGAAGGATAGGAGAAGTAGTACAGAGCTGATGTCAATGATGGGACTGAATGAGGACATTGTGACATTGATAAGAAGATCGAGATTGCGGTGGTATGGACATGTGTTGAGAAGGGATGAAAGGGTCGGGATTAGGCGAGCGTTGGAGTTTGAGGTTGAAGGAGTGGTAGGAAGGGGTCGTCCGCGATTGGGATGGAGAGAGCAGGTGGAGAAGGACAGGGTGAAAGCGGGGTTGCGTGATACTGAGGCGAGTGACAGATGTGGATGGCGTCGAGGGGTATTTCGGTTTCATCATAGGTAGCCAAACGGCAACCCCCGATCTCGGGGAAAATGCCGTCTAAACGTGTGTTGTTGTAAATAAACAAATCTAATTTTATAAAGTTAGCATAACCTTATGAATGTAATCCATTATTAAATATTTTCTTCATTTGGTTCATTCATGGGTATCATTGAATGGTGCATTATATTTTCATTTATTATAAAAGCGCGTAGCTTTATTTCTCTTACCACAAAAACCACCTCAACTTAGAAATGGAGAAGAGAAAATTATTCATGTTAGCGTTTCGAATTCATCAACGATAGCTATAAAATAAAACTCAAAAATTTTGGGTTACCCCCAATTTGACGAAAGACATTTTGCAGAAAGATAATTTGCCAAAAGACAATTCTTGGAAAAACAAAATTGTAGAATGAATGGCATCAACAGTGTGGTCAGTTGATAGGAGCAGATCATCTGACAACATGCATTTGTTTATGGATTAAACAAAAACGAAGTTTTAATGAAGTTATAATTAATCAATACATTGCTGCAAATGGTCCAGAACAATCTCGCAAAATTTGAAGATTGTGTTAAACGAATTGAAACTATTGCGAACGATTATCATAACTGCAATTTATTTGAGGACTTGCACACAACTTAGGTTTCAGTTTAAATGTTTAATAATTAGCAACGTTAGCTCCATTTTTTCGGAGCATGTCATTCGGCACATTGTGGCAGATTGGGGTGTTACCCAAAATTTCATTAGAGCATTTCTCAATAACCTAAACGTATCTCAAACTGAAAAATGATAACAATAACAACAACAACAGCAACAACAACAGCAAAAATAAAAATAATCATAATAATCATTAAAATAAAAACACTTGTAACGAAAGCAGTACTTTTGACAAGACACATCAATAACCCACCTACTGCTATCATTGCTTCTAACATCAAGACTGTTGCTGTTTAAAACGTGTGTACCGTTGTTGATGATTTTGTTAATGATGTTGTTGAAACTGTTGTTGTTGGTGTTGTTGATGTTGCTGATGATTCTGCGAGGCAGGGCTGCAGGTGGTCTGTGCTTCATCTTCTCACTGACGCTCGAATGCCGTTTGTGTTTGTTGGCTTGCTGCTGCATCAGAGGCGATGATGAAGATGAAGATGAAGTGTACATGAACTCCGTGGTACGTCTCTGGTCCCAACATTCCTTGAAGAACGGAGTGTAGGAACCTACTGCAAGTGACAAAGACAGGTGGAAAATAACAACAACTGTGACAAATATTTAAAAAGAGAATTTAGTAGTTTGAAAACATAAGCTAAAAAAGAATGGAGCAACAACGAAGAAAAAACAGAATAATGAATAATCTCTTGATAATGAAACTCACTTTGCTGTTGGAAATTAGGCGATGTAGTCATGAAAGAGGCGTTAATGCTTTCTGCAAATAACTTGCCTTCGTTCAGTAGATGATGCGTTATTACATTGCTGCTGTTGCTCAGGATGTTATTGTGGATGATATTTCCTTGAGAACCACCCTCCAACACTGCTAACAGTTTTATCGGCATCACCCGAGTTTTGGAAGCGAATGCCCTGATTATTTAAAAAAAATTATTTTCACAGAATAGTTTTTCTGCAAAAATAACTTAATGATGTCATTTCAGCCACTTATTAACTTAACAACTATTAATACATTGTCCATCGCAGTCAAATACAAAGAGAGATTATATTTTAACACTGTTATATAAAAGTTCAAACAAATTTGCAATTACAACATGAACAGAAAAAAAAGGAATATATTGTATGAATATTATAAATATATATATAATATTATAATTATTTTTAATTTTTATTCTATTATTATTAAATGAAAATTTATAAATCGCTTTTTAATAAAATCTCAAAAGCGCCTACAATAAGTGCAAGAAAAAATAAATAAGACAAAAGAAATAAAGTTGATTGTCACTCAGTTAAATGTCAGAACACACATATATTAACACAAAATCAATAAATAAATAGATGACCAAAAAGAAGTAATACTAATTCAAACGACGATTTTTAGGATTTATCCACACAAGTTACTAGTTATGTACAAAAATTCAACGCAATAATCAATAAGCCTCACAACGAATTTTTAACCGACACAAGAATTAAAACAACATAATGATAGTACCGTACCGACTAATAAAAAATAAAAACTAATAAAGAATATATATATATATATAAATTCCACTTCCCAAAGTTTTACGAGAACATTTGAGAACAGAGGAAAGCTGACTTGAGATTGGATAGTGAAGCGAGCCTGCGAACACTGTAAACAAGTATGCAGCCATGGAACAGGGATGTAACGGTCTTGTTGGCCTCGTGATATGAACAGCAACTGACTGACACCTTGCGCTTGTTCTCATCTAAATAAACCTCCAAGTTGACCGTTTGTTGATGGTGTTTGGAGATGAGACATGACTGGTGGTTGAGTAGAGGAGCCAGAGGCAAGGTCATGTTGTACGGGTCACCGCACATGAAACACATTAAAATTCTGGAGAACCAATCAAAATTAGTTTATTGCAAGGATAATAGTTATAAATATCATGATGGATAAACTAAATATCATCTGCCAGTTTGAACATCACTTTGTCATCAAGTTTTATATTCTTATAAACTATTAATATTCTTGTTATTATCTTTAATATAACTACACAACAACTGCACAACTACCTTCTAAGTATAAATAACACTAACTTTATTTTGAAGAGTGAACTTTCGGCAACCTGCCAGGGTAACTTGGTGTTGACCTTGAGTTTCATGAAGGTCAGCATATTGTGGAGAGCCAGTTCAACTTGATCTCTGTGGAAATATCTATTGGAAGACAGCATCAAACTGGACGGAGTGTCAACCAGTGGAATGTTCATACTGTAAAAGCAGAAGCATCATTCAAAATTTTAAAACCAGAAAAACATGAGTTAAGAAATTGCATTAACTCTACAATTTTAACAAAATTACCATACAACTAAAGATTTACAAACAAGCTTTTTATAGAGGGAAATCTACAAACAAGCTTTTATAGAGGAAGATCAAGTAGCGTTCATAAATTACTGTTACACAGATATTACAAATTATTTGATAACTCATTCAAGAAATATTTGATAAGCAACTATAATATTTTTTTAGTTCCCGCTAACAACTGTTTGGTTTTCCGTATTTTTTTTTCTGAATACGAATATTTATTGGACTTGAGTATTTTTGGATTAATTTATGTAGTTTAACTATATCATTACGTCAAGAAAGCATTTTCTATGTCTTGGCATCGTTAAAATTGTATATTTGATGTATGGCAATGTCCTGGGCATGACATAAAACTGCATCTAAACTGCATGCCTTGCGTGCTTTTGAGCAAAAGGCTAGGCCCACCGCTTATAACTGGTGGTTGTCGTCAGGATGGGTGTCCGGATGTAAAAACTTTTCCCCAAATTACTCTCATGCCATCACAAAGAAAAACAACGGCTCCTAGTCCCCAGCAGGCCTTTAGTGGTCAAGGGGTGCCAAGAATCCCTGGGAAGTATGCAATAGCGGAGGGATGTTGCAGAAAAAAAAATTCAGAATGGCCCCTCTATGGTACTTAGACTTGGAACGCTCAATGTTGAATCACTGACTGGCCGCAGCATGGAAATCGCAGAAATGCTCGAGCGTAGAAGGATTGACATCTGCTGCCCTCAGGAAACCCGATGGAAATCGAATGGTGTCTGTCATGTCAACTCAGACAAAGAAAAATATAAACTATTCTGGAATGGTCAAAAGACGGCCAAAAATGGTGTTGGAATTTTTGTCAGAGAATCGCTAGCCCAAGAAGTACTGGATGTTAAAAGAATTAATTCACGTCTCATGTAGATCAAGCTTCGCATAGAAAAGCAAACAATGATTATTTTTTCTGCATACGCACAACAGACAGGCGAATCAAAAGAGGTGAAAAATGACTTTTGAACTGCATTCTTTGACACCATCTCAACAATACCAAAATCTGAAACAATCCTGATTGGAGGCGATCTCAATGGCCACGTTGGAGAGAAAACAGATAGTTTTGACAACGTACATGGCGGTTTTGGCTATGGAAAACGGAATGAAGATGGCAACCGCATCCTTGAGTTTGCTGAAAGTCACGGGTTTTGTTTACTGAACACATATTTTAGAAAGAGGTTGGAACATCTAATAACATACAAAAATGGACCATCAGCCACGCAAATTGATTTCTTCGCTGTCAAGCAACAACACCGAAGGCTATTCAAAAACGTCAATGTTATACCTGGCGAATCATGTGTCGCCCAACATAGACTCCTTGTGGCAGACCTGGTTGTCGAACTATCACAACATAAGTCTAAACAAATGCCTCAGAGAATCAAAACGTGGAAGCTGAAAAGCAATATTCATCGAGAAAAATTTCAACAGATTGTCGCCACACAGTTAGACCACCAATCGCAAGCCAGTACAGATTGGAGTACATACAAAACCGTTTTAATGAACGCTGCAACTACAGTTTGTGGGAAAACTGGTACAAAACGTCAGCATAAACGTGACACTTGGTGGTGGAATGACAGTGTACAAAATGCAATAGCTGAAAAGAAAGTTGCATACAAGCAATGGCAAAAATCAAAGTCTGTTGATGACCATAAAATTTTCCGTGAGAAGAACAACAATGCAAGACGTCAAGTTGCACTGGCTCGGACAGATCAGTGCAGAGAGTGGTTCAATAAAAGCAAAGGTGAACAAATGAAATCTCTGTATCGTATAGCAAAACAAGCAAAGCGTACGAAAAAAGACATAGTTGGTGCCTCATGTATCAAAAACGACAAAAATGAGATGGTTCTGAACAAG